CTGCTAGGTTTTGAGTTTTTTTTTTTATCTTGCTCCTCTAGCTCTTTCAATTTTGATGATAGGGTGTCGGTTTTAGATATTTTCTTGCTTCTCATGTGGGCATTTATTGCTATATATTTTCCTCTAGATATTGCTTTAAATGTGTCCCAGAGATTCTGGTATGTTGTGTCTTCATTCTTGTTGGTTTTGAAGAACATCTTTATTTCTGCCTTCATTTCATCATTTATCCAGTCGACATTCAAGAGCCAGTTATTCAGTTTCCATGAAGCTGTGCGTTTCTGAGTTAGGTTTGTATTCTGAGTTCTAACTTGATTGCACTGTGGTCTGAGAGACTGTTTGTTATGATTTCCATTCTTTTGCATTTGCTGAGGAGTTATTTACTCCCGATTATGTGATCAATTTTAGAGTAGGTGTAATGTCGTGCTGAGAAGGACGTATATTCTGTAGATTTGGGGTGGAGAGTTCTGTAAATGTCTATTAAGTTTGCTAGTTCCAGGTCTGAGTTCAAGTCCTGGATATCTTTGTTAGTTTTCTGTCTGGTTGATCTGTCTAATATTGACAATGGGGTGTTAAAGTCTCCCACTGTAATTGTGTCGGAGTCTAAGTCTCTTTGTAAGTCATTAAGAACTTGCCTTATGTATCTGGGTGCTCCTGTATTGGGTGCATATATATTTAGGATCGATAGCTCTTCTTGTTGCATTGATCCTTTTACCATTATGTAATGTCCTTCTTTGTCTCTTTTGATTTTTGTTAGTTTGAAGTCTATTTTATCAGAGATGAGAATTGCAGCCCCTGCTTTTTTTTGCTCTCCATTTGCTTGATAAATCTTCCTCCTTCCCTTTATTTTGAGGCTTTTCGTATCCTTGCATGTGAGATGGGTTTCCTGAATACAGCACACTGATTGGTTTTGGCTTTTTATCCAATTTGCCAGTCTGTGTCTTTTGATTGGGGCACTTAGCCTGTTTACAATAGGGTTAATATTGTTATGTGTGAATTTGATCGTGCCATTTTGATGCTAGCTGACTGTTTTGCCTATTAGTTGATGCAGTTTCTTCATTGCGGTTATGGTCTTTACCATTTGGTATGTTTTTGGAGTGGCTGGTACTTGTCGTTTCTTTCTATGTTTAGTGCCTCTTTCAGGATCTCTTGTAAAGCAGGCCTCGTGGTGATGAAATCTCTAAGTACTTGCTTGTTCGTAAAGGATCTTATTTTTCCTTCACTTATGAAGCTTAGTTTAGCTGGATATGAAATTATAGGTTGAAAGTTCTCTTCTTTATTGATGTTGAATATTGGCCCCCACTCTCTTCTGGCTTGTAAGGTTTCTGCTGAGATATCTGCTGTGAGTCTGATGGGTTCCCTTTGTGGGTAACCTGACCTTTCTCTCTGGCTGCCCTTAACATTTTCTCCTTCATTTCAACCCTGGTGAATCTGATGATTATTTGCCTTGGGGTTGCTCTTCTTGAGGAATATCTTTGTGGTGTTTTCTGTATTTTCTGGACTTGAATATTGGTCTGCCTTGCTAGGTTGGGGAAGTTTTCCTAGATGATATCCTGCAGAGTATTTTCCAGCTTGTATTCATTCTCTCTCTCACATTCAGGTATACCTATCAAAAGTAGGTTAGGTCTTTTCACATAATCCCATATTTCTTGAAGACGTTGTTCATTCCTTGTTACTCTTTTATCTCTAACCTTGCCTTCTCGTTTTATGTCATTGAGTTGATCTTCAACCTCTGATATCCTTTCTTCTGCTTTGTCAATTCGATTGTTGAAGCTTGTGTATGCTTCGCGAAGTCCTCGTGTTGTGTTTTTCAGCTCCATGAATTCACTTATATTCCTCTGTAAGTTTCTTATTCTGTTTATCATTTCATCACATCTTTTTTCAAGGTTCTTAGTTTCTTTGCATTGGGCTAGAACATGTTCTTTTAACACAGAGAATTTTCTTATTACCCACCTTCTGAAGCCTGATTCTGTCAATTCATCACACTCATTCTCCACGCAGCCTTGTTTCCTTGCTGGTTAGGAGTTGTGATCCCTTGGTGTAGGAGAGGTGTTCTGGTTTTTGGTGTGTTCATCCTTTTTGCACTCTTCTCTTCCCATCTTTGTGGATTTATCTACTTGTAATCTTTGTAGTTGTTGACTTTCAGGTTGGGTCTTTGAGTGGATGTCCACTTTATTGATGATGAAGTTATTTCTTTCTCTTTCCTAGTTTTCCATCTAACAGTCAGACCTCTGTGCTGTAGGACTGCTGAGGTCCACTCCAAGCCCTGCTTGCCTTGGGATCACCTGCAGCTGCTGCAGAACAGTAATGGTTGCTCCTGGTTTCTTCTTCTGCTATCTTTGTCTGAGAAGTATACCTGCCAGATGTCAGTCTGAGCTCTCCTTTATGAGGTGACTCTTTGGATATACAGGGGTCAGGGATCTGCTTGAGGGGACAGTCTGTCTTTTATAGGAGCTCGCGTGCTGACCTGTGGGCTTCGTTGTTCATTCAGAGCTTCTGGGCAGGTACGTTTAAGTCTTTTGCAGCAGAACTCATTAACCCCACCCCTTTTTTTTTCCCAGGTGCTCTGTCCAAGGAAGTTAGGGCTTTATTTATGAGTTTCTGTTGTGCTGCTGCCTTTTTTCAGGGCTGCCCTGCCCAGCAAGGAGTCAGCCTCGTCACTGTCTGCCTGCAGAGGCTTTGCAGAGCTGCTATGGGCTCTGCCCAGCTGCCGTGTGAACTTCCCTGCAGTCTTGTTTATACGGGTATTGTTAGAACTGCCTCGGCAATGGAGGTCCAGCTTGATAATGGCAGACCGTCTCTGTAATGTTGTGCTGCCTCTGCAGTGGTGAACTACCTTCATAATGATGGACTGCCTCGGTAATGGCGGACGACCCAGAGTTGGACCATCCCGTGTTCAGTTATCCTTGCTGTGAAACTCTCAAACCAGAGCATTTCAGATTGCTGTTTTTTTGTGGGGGTGGGACCAGCTATGCCTGATTACCTGGCTCCCTGCCTCAGAACAAATGGTCATGTTCCAGTCGCCTGTTGAAAAAGTGCTGGGATCTGTGCAATTTCCCGTGCTGTGACCCACTATGCCTGTGCTGGCTGAAACAGCTACGCTGAGATTCGTAGTGGTTTTTTGCCTGGGAATCTCCTGTCCTGGTTCACTGTTTCCGTCCCCTTTTGTATCAATTGAATGTGTGACTGTCTTCCTGGATCTCCAATCGCCACCTTGAACGGTGCCCAGACCCGTGTATTTTGTACGGAGAACCACTGCACTGGGGCACTGGCCAAAACAGCTGCGCAGGCCGAAACAGCCATGCTGGCGACCCATGGGGCTCCTCCACCTGGGAATCTCCTGGTCTGTGGGCAACAAAAATCTGCCTGGAAATGTGGTGTTCACTCACCCTCTGCGCTTTTGCTGGGAGCTGCAATCCTGAGCTGCCCCTAATCGGCCATCTTGGATCTCGGAATCTTGTTTGCTTTGTTTAAGATCAGTTTGCTGTAAGTATTTGGCTTATTTTCTGGGTTCTCCATTCTCTGCAATTGGTCTATGTATCTATTTTTATAAGAGTACCATGCTGTTTTGGTGGCTATGGCTTTCTAGTATAGTTTGAAGTTGGGTAATGTGATTCCTCCAGATTTGTTCTTTTTGTTTGGTCTTGATTTGGCTATGCAGGCTCTTTTTTGGTTCCATATAAATTTTAATTTTTTTTCTAGTGAAAAAAATCCCCTACATTGCTAGCCCTTCCCTCTGGGCATTCACTGCAGGATTTCGAACTTGAGTTAGATTTCAGTCTTCTTCATGACCTCGACAAAACTACCCTTGTTAGTGGTGGTAGTTTTCTATACAATGTGCAGCAACCTCAATTTTTGGCTTTTCAGAAGAAAGAATTTCACAGAGGAGCTTAAGGCAAGGGAGAGATGGATTCAAGTTTTAAAGCAGGAGAGAAAGTTCATTAAAGAGCTTTAAAGCTGCATTGCTATCTATTTTAGCTTCTCTGTAGCAATTGTGAATGGGAGTTTACTAATGATTTGGCTCTCTGTCTATTATTGGTGTATGGGAATACTTGTGGTTTTTGCACATTGATTTTGTATCCTGAGACTTTGCTGAAGTTGCTTATTAGCTTAAGGAGAATTTGGGCTGAGACAATGTGGTTTTCTAAATATACAATCATGTTATCTGCAAACAGAGACAACTTGACTTCCTTTCTTCCTATTTGAATACGCTTTATTTCTTTCTCTTGCCTGGTTGTTCTGGCAAGAACTTCCAGTACTATGTTGAATAGGAGTGGTGAGAGAAAGTATCCTTCTCTTGTGACTTTTTTCAAAGGAAGTCCTTCTAGCTTTTTCCCATTCAGTGTTATTGGCTGTAGGCTTGTCATAACTAACTCTTATTATTTTGAGATACTTTCCATCAATACCTAGTTTATTGAGGGGTTTTATCATGAAGGAGTGTTGAATTTTGTTGAAGACCTTTTCTCCATCTATTGAGTTAATCATATGGTTTTTGCCATTGTATCTATTTATTTGGTGGATTACGTTTATTGACTTGCATGTATTGAACCAGTCTTGCATCCTGGGGATTAAGCTGACTTCATCATGGTGGATAAATATTTTGACATGCTGCTGGATTTGGTTTGCCAGTATTTTATTGAGGATTTTTGCATTGATGTTCATCAGGGATATTGGCCTGAAATTTTCTCTCTTTTTTTCTTATCTGCTGGGTTTTTGTAGCAGGATGATGCTGGGTTCATAAAATAAGTTAGGGAGTTGTTCCTCTTTTTTTATTCTTTGCGATAGTTTCAGAAGGAATATGAGGGATCTCTTCAAGGAGAACTACAAGCCACTGTTGAGGGAAATAAGAAAGGACACAAATGAAAAAACATTCTATACTCATGGATAGGAAGAATTAATATTATGAAAATGACCATGCTCCTTAAAGTAATTTATAGATTCAATGCTATCCTTATCAAGCTACTATTGACTTTCTTCACATAATTAGAAAAATCTCCTTTAAATTTCATATGGAATCAAAAAAGAGCCCATATAGCCAAGACAATCCTAATCAAAAAGAACAAAGCTGGAAGACATAGCTTCAGGTGGCTGTGCTGGTGGCGTTCAAGATGTTGACCAAAAATTTCTGAGTCAGTGACAGGGACTGTATTTGCCTTGACAAAAGTGTGGAAATGTAAACTTTGCTAGAAGAACCAGTTTTAATCGATGTGGTCAGGAGGAAACAACTGAGGCCACGATGATGAAAGCTGGGGGCATTGAAATAGGAAAGACACTTGCAGAAAAGAGCCAAGGCCTATTTAGTGGTAATGACTGGCAGTGTAAAACTTGCAACAATGTGAATTGGGCCAGAATATCAGAGTGTTATATGTGTAATACTCCAAAGTATGCTAAATTAGAAGAAAGAAAAGGATATGATGGCGATTTTAACAAAAAAGGAAATGTTGAATACATAGAAAGAGAAGAATCTGATGGTGAATATGATGAGTTTGGATGTAAAAAGAAAAAATAAAGAGGGAAAGCAGTTGGTCTTGCATCTATATTAACGGAAGTTGAAGATAAAGAATCAGAGGAAGAAGAGGATGAGGATGAAGATCTTTCTAAATATAAATTTGACGAGGGTGAGGATGAAGAATCTAAAACACGAAGTCACTCAAAGTCTCTATCTTCACATTCATGATCTTCATCACGGTCATCCTCCCCCTCCAGTTCAAGGTCTAGGTCCAGCTGCTGTTCAACAGGTTCTTCCAGTTCCCAGTCCAGATCTCATTTCAGTTCCAGAGAACATTCTAGATCTTGTTGATAGAAATTAAGATCCAGCTCCAGGTCCCACCGTGGCTCTTCTTCCCCACAAAAAAGATCTTATTCAAGTTCATCATCTTCTCCTGAGAGGAACAGAAAAAGTTATTCTAGATCTTCTTCATATGGTGATTGCAAAAAAAGATGAACAAGATCACGGTCACCTGAAAGCCAGGTGATTGGTGAAAACACTTAACAACCCTGAGCCCAGGGCCAACTCCTACAGAACACCACTACTTTACCCAGATGCCAGACTTCATCTTCTGGATCATCCCATTCTGGTTCCCGTTAAAGTTCAGAAAGGAAATAATGCATTAAAGTTTACATCTTAAAAAAATCCATTACAGTGCATGAAGCATATTTTGAAAGAAGTTGGTGTCTTACTTGGTCAGAAGTGCTAAATCTGCTAGTAGAGCTGCATGCCTTTCATTGCTTTTCAAAACTATACAACTGTGTTTATTTGTGAAGTTAAAAGTAAATAGCACTTTAAGCCATAATGTCCCAAAATAGATGCTCTGTCATTCATTACTTCCAAACATTTAAAACAATTTCATCTATAACAAAGTACTTTTCTTCCTACTTTAAACCCATTTTTCTCATTTTCAAATACATCTTGTCCATTGGCCAGGACAGGAGTACCTAGACTTGCCTGAACTTTGGGCATGGAAGCAAGACTGGAAACTAGTTGGAAACAACATATTTATGGAAAAGGAGTCAACCTGTTTATGCTGTTAATGGATATCAAAGTAATTCTCACCAAAAAAAGTTAAACTATGTTGTAAAGCAGCCAACTGTAAATGAAATTCCCTATAATACGAGTGCCTTAGAATCACTGAAATATTGAAATTCCCTATGCTAAGAGTACCTTAGAATCATTATCTTTCTTTTATCCATCTTTACTTTTTTGCTCCACCACATTTAATGCAAAAGAATCTCGTTACCCTAGAAGGAGAGAAGCGGTATTTATTTTCCTTTCTGATACATAATTTGGGGCAAAAAAGAAAGTTTAACAATTTATCACTTATCTGCTGATATGGTTGCTTGATAAAAACATCTCAAAATGTTTACCAATATTTTAACAAGCTTTGTGTGATATTCTTTAAAATCTAGTTATCAAATATAATATGGTAGAAAAGTTTAATCATAGTTAATCAGGAAATTGAACTAAGCTTTTAAGATGTATTTCTCTTTTGGTGAAGGGCCAATGGAGACATTGTGAATTGAAGTGAACATTTGCCTCAAGATGTTAACTATAAAAACACTGCATATAATTTTCTTCTGAATAACAAATGAATGCTTATCTCTCCACGATGTAAGCAAAAACCATTATTTTCTTATTCACTTGAAATAATTCATGGCTTAAAATGTTTTGGAGTTTATTTCTCAAAATCTGGTCACATGAGCTTCATTCTGTTTTCTGGTTTAAAAGATAAAAAGGTAGATGGCTGATTAGGAGCAGCTCAGGTTTGCAGCTCCCAGTGAAAGTGCAGCAGGTGAGTGGATGCCACATTTCCAGATGGACATTTATTGCCCACAGACCAGGAGATTCCCAGGCAGATGAGCCCCATGGGTCACCAGCGTGGCTGTTTTGGCTGGCACGGTGGGTCTCCACACAAAATACATGGGTCTGGGCACTGTTTTAGCTGGCGATTGGAGCTTCTGGGAGACAGAGTCACCCATTCAACTGACAAAAAGGGGACTGAAACAGGGAGCCAGGCCAGGAGATTCCTCAGCAAAAAAGTGCCATGAATCTGAGGACAGCTGTTTCAGCCAGCACAGTGGATTGCTGCAAGGGAAATCACACAGATCCCAGCACCTTTTCAACAGGTGACTGGAACACCTGGGAGACAGAGTCACCCATTCAACTGAAAAAAAAAAAAAAAAAAAAAAAAAAGGAGTCTGAGGCAGGGAGCCAGGTGATCAGGCTCGGCTGGTCCCACCCACACAAAAAACAGCAATCTGAAATGCTCTGGATTAAGAGTTTCACAGAAAGCACAGCTGAAAACAGGACAATCCAGCTCTGTGGGGGAGGGGCGTCTGCCATTACTGAGGCAGTCCACCACTACAGAGGTTCTCCGCCATTGCTGAAGCAGACCACCATTGCCGAGGCAGCCCGCCATTACAAAGAGAGTCTGCCATTACAGAGGTGGGCCGCCATTGCCGAGGCATTTCTAACTATAACCCTATAAATAGGACTGTAGGAAAATACACATGGCAGCTGGGCAGAACCCACAGCATCTCAGCAACACCGCTGCAGGCAGACTGTGACTAGGCTGCCTCGTCACTGGGCAGGGCAGCCCTGTAAAAAGGCAGCAGCACAACAGAAACTCATAAATAAACCCCTAACTCCCTGGGACAGAGCACCTGGGAAAACATAAAAAATAAAACAGGTGTTTATGAGTTCTGCTGCAGCAGTCTTAAACGTACCTGCCCAGCAGCTCTGAATGAACAATGGAGCTCACAGCTTAGCACTTGAACTCCTATAATGGACAGGCAGTCTCCTCAAGCAGCTCCCCAACCCCTGTATATCCAAAGAGTCACCTCATAAAGGAGAGCTCAGATTGACATCTGGTGGGTATGCTTCTGGGACAAAGATAGCAGAAGAAGAAACTGGGTGCAACCCTTACTGTTCTGCAGCAGCTGCAGGTGATCCCCAGGCAAGCAGGGCCTGGAATTGACCTCAGCAGTCCTACAGCAGAGGGGCCTGACTGTTAGAAGGAAAACTAAGAAACAGAAAGAAATAACTTCATCATCAACAAACTGGATGTCCATTCAGAGACCCGATCTGAAAGTCAACAACAACAAAGATGACAGGTGGATAAATCCACAAAGATGGGAAGAAATGAGAGAAAAAAACCGAAAACATCCAAAACCAGAACACCTCTCCTCCTCCAAGGGATCACAACTCCTCACCAGCAAGGGAACAAGGCTGGATGGGGAATGAGTGTGATGAATTGACAGAAACAGGCTTCAGGAGGTGATTAGTAAGGAACTTCTCTGAGCTAAAAGAACATGTTCTAACCCAATGCAAAGAAACTAAGAACTTTGAAAAAAGATGTGATGAAATGCTAAGGAGAATAAACAGCTTAGAGAGAAATATATGTGAATTGATGGAGCTGAAAAACACAACACGAGAACTTCATGAAGCATACACAAGTTTCAACAGCCAAACTGACCAAGCAGAAGAAAGGATATCAGAGTTTGAAGATTAACTCAATGAAATAAGAAGGCAAGATTAGAGAAAAAAGTGTCAAAAGGAATGAACAAAGTCTCCAAGAAATATGGGACTATGTGAAAAGACCTAATCTGCATTTGATAGGTGTACCTGAATGTGGCAGAGAGAATGAATACAAGCTGGAAAATACTCTTCAGGATATTATCCAGGAAAACTTCACCAACCTAAAAAGGCAGGCCAATATTCAAGTACAGGAAATACAGAGAACACCACAAAAATATTCCTCACGAAGAGCAACCCCAAGGCAGATAATCGTGAGATTCACCAGGGTTGAAATGAAGGAGAAAATGCTAAGGGAAACCAGAGAGAAAGCTCGGGTTACCCACAAAGGGAAGCCCATCAGACTCACAGCAGATCTCTCAGCAGAAACCCTACAAGCCAGAAGAGAGTGGGGGCCAATATTGAACATCGTTAAAGAAGAGAACTTTCATCCCAGAATTTCATATCCAGCCAAGCTAAGCTTCATAAGTGAAGGAAAAATAAAATCCTTTATGAACAAGCAAGTACTCAGAGATTTCATCACCACCAGGCCTGCTTTACAAGAGCTCCTGAAAGAGCACTAAAGGCACTAAACATAGAAAGGAACGACCGGTACCAGCCACTCCAAAAACATACCAAATGGTAAAGACCATCACCACAATGAAGAATCTGCATCAACTAATGGTCAAAACAGCCAGCTAGCATCAAAATGGCAGTATCAAATTCACACATAACAATATTAACCCTAAATGTAAATAGGCTAAATGCCCCAATGAAAAGACACAGGCTGGCAAATTGGATAAAAAGCCAAAACCCATCAGTATGCTGTATCCAGGAAACCCATCTCACATGCAAGGATACACAAAGGCTCAAAATAAAGGGATGGAGGAAGATTTACCAAGCAAAAGGAGAACAACAAAAAAAGCAGGAGTTGCAATTCCATCTCTGATAAAATAGACTTCAAACCAACAAAGATCAAAAGAGACAAAGAAGGACATTATATAACGGTAAAATGCTCAATGCAACAAGAAGACCTAACGATCCTAAATATATACACACCCAATACAGGAGCACCCAGATACATAAGGCAAGTTCTTAATGACTTATAAAGAGACTTAGACTCCCACACAATAATAGTGGGAGACATTAACACCCCATTGTCAATATTAGACAGATCAATGAGACAGAAAATTAACAAGGATATTTACGACTTGAACTCAGACCTGGATCAAGAAAACCTAATAGACATTTACAGAAGTCTCCACCCCAAATCCACACAATATACATTTTTCTCAGCACCACATCACACCTACTCTAAAATAGACCACATAATTGGAAGTAAATCACTCCTCAGCAAATGCAAAAGAACAGAAATCATAACAAACACTGTCTCAGACCACAGTGCAATGAAGTTAGAACTCAGGATTAAGAAACTAACTCAGAAATGCACAGCTTCATGGAAACTTGAATGTCTTGAATGTTGACTGGATAAACAATGAAATGAAGGCAGAAATAAAGATGTTCTTTGAAACCAACAAGTACAAAGACACTACGTACCAGAATCTCTGGGACACATTTAAAGCAATATCTAGGGAAAATATATAACAATAAATGACCACATGAGAATCAAGGAAATATCTAAAATCGACACCCTATCATCAAAATTGAAAGAGCTAGAGGAACAAGATTATAAAAAACTCAAAACCTAGCAGAAGACAAAATATAAGATAAGAGCAGAACTGAAGGAGATAGAGACACAAAAATCCTTCCAAAAATCAATAAATCCAGGACCTGGTTTTTCGAAAACATCAACAAAATAGACCAGTAGCCAGATTAATAAAAAAGAAAAGAGAGAAGAAGCAAATAGATGCAATAAAAAATGATAAAGGAGATATCACATCAGAATCCACAGAAATACAAACCATCATCAGAGATTATTACAAACAACTCTATGCACATAAACTAGTATAACCTGGAAGAAATGGATAAATTCCGGGACACTTGCATCCTCCCAAGCCTAAACTAGGAAGAAGTTGAAACCCTGAATAGACCAATAATAAGAGCAGAAGTTGAGGAAGCAATTAAGAGCCTACCACCCACAAAAAAGCCCAGTTCCATGTGAGTTCACAGCCGAATTCTACCAGACGTACAAAGAAGAGCTGGTACCATTTCTTCTGAAACTATTCCAAACAATCCAAAAAGAGGGAATCCTTCCCAAATCATTTTATGAGATCAACGTCATCCTGATACCAAAACCTGGCAGAGACTCAGCAAGAAAAGGAAACTTCAGACCAACATCCATGATGAACATAGATGCAAAAATCTTCAATAAAATACTGGCAAACCAGTTGCAGCAGCACATTAAAAAGCTTATCCACCATGATCAAATAAGCTTCATCCTGGGGATGCAAGGCTGATTCAACATTCACAAGTCTATAAATGTACTTAACCACATAAACAGAACCAAAGACAAAAACCACATGATTATCTCAACTGATGCAGAGAAGGCCTTTGACAAAATTCAACAGCCCTTTATGCTAAAAACCCTCAATAAACTGGGTATCAACAGAACGTATCTCAAAATAATAAAAGCTATTTAAGACAAACCAACAGCCAATATCATACTGAATGGGCAAAACCTGGAAGCATTCTCTTTGAAATCTGGCACTAGACAAGGATGCCCTCTCAGCACTCCTATTCAATATAGTATTGGAAGTTCTAGTACAGCAATCAGGCAAGAAAAAGGAATAAAAGGTATTCAAATAGGAAAGGAGGAAGTCAAACTATCTGTTTGCAGATGACATGATTGTATATTTAGAAGACTCCATCATCTCAGCCCAAAATCTCCTGAAACTGATAAGCAACTTGAGCAAAATCTCAGGATACAAAATCAATGTGCAAAAATCACA